TTTGCCATGTAAGCATGACATGGCAATATTTTGCCATCCAAGCAGCTAAGCGGGGTGTGTCCTCAACGGCAGTTAAGTCAGGCGAGCAATCCCAAACGTCAGTTAAGTTGGCCTAAGAAGAAGGGCTTAATTGCTTTGATCGCAGAGTTCAAGGGCTTAACTGCATCAATTAAAGTCTAGGGGCTTAATAGCGATTCTGGGGTTGGTTCAGGGGCTTAACTTATGGTTTTGCCTATTTATTTTTATTTTTATTATTAATTTATATAAAAAATTTATTTTTAACTTTAATATCTGGTAAAATAATTTATTAGATAATTAATTAAACTAAAATTAATTTTTATTTTTATTTTTTATATAAATTAATTATAAAAAATATAAGAAATATATTGTTAATTTGCACAGCACAAATTTGTGCATTCAGTTGGAAAGCTTATGATATTTAAAGCATGTTTGGTGAAACTTGTAAGCACTTCAGTTTTTTGACACTATTCATATTTCATAAGTTTAAATTTTTTTTAAAAAATTTATATTTTTAACCTCTTTTTAATTTTAAAAAGACCTTAAATAATGAATTTTGAAAAGTCTTTGACTTTTACTTTTTATAAATTTTTTTTATTCACTTCTTATTTACTTTTTATTATTTTTAAAAGTAATTTTTAAAATTTTCTTTCAATAAAAATTTAAACTTATAACTCATAAATAGTATTAAAAAGATAAAAACTCAAAAAAAACTCCACCTAACATGCCCTTAAAAGTGGTTACCTAAAAGATTGATTTGAAATTAGGAGATTAAAACTTTGATCCTAAAAGGCTCTAGCAAGATGAAAATTTTCACTTGACTTGCACTCTCATATGCGGCTCAAATAGAGCTGGCCTTGCATGTAGTCTAACAACAAAATTTGGATTTTGATACCACATAAGCAGTTAATTTAAAATTAATCCACAATAAAATGGATCAATGTAAAAAAAATTCACTTAGCAATTGGGGTTCTCTCAGTCAAATTATTGCTAGCACAACAAAATTGTCTGTCTACTTCCACTACACAAATTAAGATAAGAATCATTTATTCCCATCTTTTCCTTTTATAGTTTGTTAACAATGTTTGCCTCTTCTATTTTTATTCAAGTTTCGAACTTTTTATCTAATTCATTGTCTCAGTTTTGATATAACAACTATAAATCTCCTCTTTTAAATGTTGAGACTTGAGAGTCTTGAGACGCAACGATTTGGAGCATATTAGGATTTAGGACCTGTAAACATGTAAATTTCAGGTTTGGTGCAGTTTTCGAAGTCTACCAATCATGTGTCTTTTGTGCACTCGAGGTTGAATCGTATTGCATACTTGAATTCAGGTAACTAATCCTACCAAAATCATGGCTTTACGCAAATTCCATTTGAAGACCGGCATAATGTATGTGGAGATGTGACTAGGCAACCATGCATTGGATCATCAAGAAAGAAGTGGAAGGGGAAACCGAGTTGACATGTGCCAGAGTTGGACCACCACCTCCATACTTGACCAGAATGGCTTATCTGGTAGGCCCAATCATTAATAATTTCTTACGTTATCTTCATTCTGTTGGATAAGCCTAATCGCTTCATTTCTACTAACCTGGCACAATTATACAAAAGATGAGGCCAGCAATTGAGCTGTTCTTAGTCAACTGTTAAGTGTCATTCAACAAAAACAGTTAGGAATTTGATTCTATGCATCTATATCTGATTTCTGCAATCAAATCACCCCTGTTGCATCTGAAAGGATCACTTCTTTGTATGATAATTGTGTCGCATGATTGGACTTTAGTCTCAAATCCCATGATTGATCTTATGAGTGCATAAAAACACTCGCTTGAATTCGTATGCTTGTTTTGACATTTTCTATGCTTACGATGGATATGCTGATATACATAACAGGTAACTTCATGGAGTTTTGATAGGGGATAGAATTGATTTCTAGCTGTATTCTTTAAGCTGTTTTTCAACATGGGAGCTGAAGCTTCCCAAAAGCATGTATCAGATAATATATGATGCATATGGGTCCCAAAATACCCATTGCATATCAAAATAAAGCTCTCTTTACCTGCAATCCTATATCATAGATGGCATCGATTCAACTTATGTTATGCAGTCGATGTATCCTAAAGAGATTCTTGTGGAATAATAAACTGTTTCTTTCTTTCTCCAATCTGCTTTAATGTAATTAGTTTAATACAAGTTCAATGCATATGGTTGAAGCAATGAGGCTACAATAAGACGTTAAGGAGAAGACAAGAGTGAAAATTTTGAAACTCATTTAGCATAAACAAAGGGAAAAACCTTTTTTTTTTTTAATGCTAAAATGAGTTCAAAAGACTAAATATATGTTGGTGGGTTTGTTCTTCTAGATGTTATGGATGTGAGTCAATTTGATCCTTAGTTTTTAACTCTTGAGTCTCAAACATTGTAACTTTTCTGCATCAGTCTCTGTCAAAAGCCCTTCTACCAAGAAGTTTAAACTAATGAGTGAAAGGTCAA